CTGTGTGTGTACGACGCGGGTGCGCAACACTAAAAACGCCCTTTCGAAAAACGCGTCCCCGATAATAAACGGGCGTCGGATGTTCGAACTTGGTGAAAAAACGGTCGCTCTGTACAACGTATCTCGTTTCGTATTCTCGATAATAATTTGTCGATCGTGTCAAAATATGACTAAGTCTCTTACGCGGCTACGCACTTACCTATGACATTACGTGGTAAACTAACAAGTACGGTGTACGTGTCTGTCTGTCTGTGTGTGTGTATGTGGTGTATGCGCGCGTACACGCACAGCATTCACGTGTACGCGCCCATATACGTGATTCTTTCTTTTATACAATTCGTCCGGTGACAAGTGTGTGTCCTATCGTGAATCACCGATCGTTTTAGAACAAAGTTCGATCATGTACAACCGTGTGGTGTGTCTATATGATACAGTACGCCGTCGAATCGACAAAACTTTGTCCCTAAAAAGTACTTCTTCCTTCCATCGTTCATCTGGTAGGATCTTTCGAAACTCTCGTATCTTTTCCTCGCGTGAAACAGCGATTCTCTTCGATCCCGTATGTGTGTGATTGATCTTCCGAGGCTGCCTGGCACGCCGAGATTCCTCTTCTTCTTTCTCCTTCAGTTTTCCTCCTCGTCCTTTCTTCCGTTGTATAAAACGCGTGAAAAATTGTGGTCCGCGGCGCAGTCAGACTGTCCTCCAGAAACGGCGCGGAAACAGAGATCAGGGCGTAAAATCGCGCTCAGGTAACGTTTCTTCTTTTTTCTTCCTTTTTGTTTCTTTCGGAAATTTTGTACTACGTCCTCTGTTCCCCCTTTTTCTTTCGAAAGGAACGCTCGAGGTTGCTCCATGGGCTTTATTTTTCCATGGAAATTCTCGTCCTATCGAACGACGAATGTAAATACGATTCGTATGGCTCTTCTTCTGCTAAGTTCACATCGTCGTCTCCGTTTTTTTTTTTTTTTTTTTTTTTGATTTTGGTAGAAAGGATAAACGACGGCACATTCGTCCTAGGCCCTTCTTCAATCTTCTCGTAGAAAAAACCTCGTCTATCTAAATCTTCCTTCTAAACTCTGGAACACGTACATCGCGAATACAACCCTCCGCTCCACTTTCGCCTAACTTTATATACTTCATTGTGCACGTTTCGTGTTAACTTTCTAAGCCTCCTCGATTCTGGATCAAACTTGAGGATCGTTTTAGGCCGTGAATATATACTACACATACACATATATATTCCATCCAGATATTCCCATTTAGAAATGTTTCGTCGACATCGTTACTAGACCGTTCTCACTATATTTAGGCTAGCTTTGTTTTGGCAGTGATCACTATGAGTTTCTTTTACTTTTTGTTTTTTTTGGTCCGTGTCTAATCGTTGGGTTCGCGATCGTCTGATCGATCTCTACGTACAACAAACTGTATCCCAAGGCTACTTCTTCAGCGTGCCAAAGCCCGATGAGAGCTACTCGATCCCATTGATCCGGGGTCCAGTGTGCCGATATGTTTATCTGAAAAATCGGCTGATCGATGGTCCGGGCAATTGAATCGGCCGTTTAGCCTTCCTGTTCGATCGCCCCCCCCCGCCAGCCTCGAAAGTCCTCGCCTCGGGGATCGAACGATTCGCTCCGCCGTTTGATTGGCGTTGCACGCGGTGTTTCATTTGCCATTCAGCTTCGTCAAGCCGATGGAACGCGGCCGTTTACACGGCGACGCCTTTCGCTCGGCCCCCGCACTGCAATCGATCCTGTTTTATTAGCTTTGGATACTCGACAAGCATCCAGTTTGGAACAATACCCAGCTACTACACGTAACAAACAGCACGTTCCACGATCGATCTCTCATTTGTAATCAGCGCGACGACTTCATTCACCATTCCCGACCAACTTCATTTTCCATTCCCCCTCTAGTTTCTTTCTTCCTTATCTTTTCACTCTTCGTTTATTCTCCTCTGTCTTTCGTTCGTAGTTGTCGTCGTCGTCGTCGTTGTTTGCTTCTTAGCCCTCTCTCGACACGATCCTCTTCCCTACAATGATCCACAACGATCAACGTTTCGTTTGTTATTCTTCTGTTTCTCTTTTGGCACACGTCGTAGCTTGTCCACGTGTCTCGTGTATGACGCTAAACGAATCTAAATCTGTCGTGTGTCGTCACGTGGACAGCTGATCGATCGATGATCGAACGTCGCCGATGACGGAGGTCGAACCGCGTTGCGATCGACTCAACCACCCCGGCGACTACATATGCTATAAGCAGGTCTCCTTCTGGTCGACCACGTTCACGACCACCGAGGCCTGGGTGGGCAGCTCCTTCTGGACGGGCACACCAGTCGGGACCTCTTCGAGTATTGGTCAAAGGGTCGTGGTCCTCGATACGGCCGCCGAGGGAGGGGGCGGCGGCGGTGGCGGCGATATCACCACGTCTGGCTCACCCGCCAGGTCGCAGTCGAATCTCCAAAGAATACTCTCAGGGTGGTCACCTCCTGAACATCAAACGATTCTCTTTAAGCCTCTTTAATCGACGGTTAATTATCTCTTCTTTTTCACTTTTCTCTAAGATGCAGATGAAGGATTTTACTTTTTTCAAAACGCCAGTCTAGCTTTCATATATTCTACGTGATATACGTTCCAGTCGCGCGATTTCTGTTTGCCAATTAGAAAAATTGTACAAAATTTCGTTTCATATTTTTTTTCCACCGCCTCTGATGATACTAATCGAACGCGACATAGTACACGAGAATAAATTTCTCTATTTGTTTTTCATAAAGTTTCGCAGAGTACCAATTAGCTGTGTATTTTTATTTTTATTCGTTTTCAGTTAACCCGTATTCAGAGAGCAGACTTTTATTCGAATTTTCGGAAATCTAAATTTTTCACGAAAATTTGATCAATCGTACCGTACATGGAAAATTGACATTTTTAACGAAGAGAAATTAGAGTGTAACTAACCTTGACCCAAGACGATGCTTGAAGAGCCCCGTCTCTGTCTCAGTGGGGGTGGTTGGTGCTTGTGCGTATGACTGTGATTGTGGCTGTGTGAATGTGAGTGGCAGTGTGTGTGACGTGTGTGCGTGGGCGTGGCTTTGCACGGTGGCTGTTGCTGTTGTTGTTGCTGCTGCTGCTGAGGATGAAGATGAGGATGAGGCCTGTGCTAGGTGTTCCCGCCACGGGCCGCTCCCACTTGATCGAAGCTCAATGATTTCTTCATCTCCGTCATCGACAACGCACCACCCTCCTGCTGATAAAATAGGAAAACCCCTGTGTTAGCTATATCGAGGACTGCGTGATCGGCGAACACTCACCCCTCTCGCTCCTCGAACGAGCCATCCTCTAACTTTCTTTCTTTTTTTTTTTATCCTCTCTCACTCTCTTTCTCTCCCTCTCTTTCACGTGGCCGCGAGCGAGCGAGTTATTAAAAGTTGCCTGGGCCTCGTTAAAACTTGTCGAAACTTTTTAAAAGCTCGTAAAGAAGTTATCGCCGACTCACGTGGCTCTACATACACATCTATACGTATCGAAATCACTGGTGACTTTACAGGGCGTTCTCTCTCTCTCGTTCCAACTATGTATATGTCTCGCCTACCAACAATCTTCGAAATATTCTCTGAACAATCACGTCGACACTTTCTTCCCTCTTTGTTTCTTTTCTAACAATTTTCTATTTCGTTGGAAATTGTGCAGAAAGTTGTACATTTTTCTTTGGAAGATTTACGAAGTCTGTTTCCGTATCGATTGCTAAAACACGTCCAGCTGCGACCCCGTGATCGGAGAAACGAACTTATTTGCGATGAAAATATGTACCGGTGTGCCATGGGGATCGAGTTTCGATAGAATATCGGCAGGTAAAGGCGAGACAGAGGCTTTGCCAGAGCTGTGACTGGATGTATACGACAGATATAAATTTTTTGTTGCTGTAGTTTGTCTCGTTCCGGGAGGAAGAGCAGCGCGGTATGGAAAAAAAGAAAAAGAGAAGGGAGGAACCGCGTGAAACGCGTGCCGCGACCGATTTGATGGAAGTGAATTCGTACGAACGGAAGCACGATGCTTCGAAACGTTTCAATTTGTCGAACAGAAAGACCCGTGAATCGAGCGGGCTTGGTATTGAATTTTTGCAACTTGAATTTTCGCTAACACTTCCATGTGCACTCGACTATCAAACACAGTGCTCCTCAATCCTATTCGACAAATTTTGCGTTTACCGTGAAAACTGTAAAAATATACGACTCTATAAAAACAGGGAAGAATAATGACTATAAAAACTGTAGAGAGTCTCGGTATCTTTCCTTAAACTTGCCAAATTTTGTCGGAAATTTCACCGCATCGATCGGAGAGATACGCCGAATTATGTACATCCATCACGGGACTGTACGAAACTCGTTCGAAACGAATAGATAGATTAGACGAAAGGGGAGGATCATCGAGGAAATTCAGAGAATAGCTATAAATATTCCAGGTGGATCGTACAGAAACAGCACGTCGCGACACTGATTAAAGTATTGAATGGAGAAACCGGAGGAATTCGAAACGGGAATACTCGTCTCTCGTTTCTTCCCATCTCCGATCACCTTGCGAAACCAGAAACCGCGAAACTTGATTAAATCGGTAATTCCAGCTCGATCGAATTCTGATTAAATTTAAAGCAAATTGGCCGGCGACGCTAGAATTGCTCTCGAATTTCATTCCCATTGTGTCAAGAAAATATTGCCTCCTCTTCAAATCTCAGCCGCGAAACCGCGTGAATTTGTAATTTCATTAAACGCACAGCATCCTTTTACCCAACTTTTCGAGATTTCTTTAATAGGAAGTAATTACCGGTTCCTGGAAGATGCTGTACAACGAAGACACGTTGTGTAAAGTGTCTTGGAACATTTCGTTCTATTTGTTTCCTCTGTTAAGGGAGACAATACCGCGTGGCGAAAGAATAGCGATGAGAATCAGCCTCGCGGAAGTATCGACAGAGGCTGACCCGCTTCTTCCGCAGTTCTGACCGTGCACAGTTCGGGATATCCCGAGGATTCTCTGGCCGGGTAACACCGGAACGAGGTTGGAAAATGTGACGTAGCCTGGAAAAATCACTTCCGCCACGATCAGGAGCACCATTCACGGACGAGCCGCTCGAGAACGTGGAATCGTTCCGGGTCGACAGCTCGCCCTTTCCAATCTTGTTTAACGAACACTCTATTCTCTGACTGATGCAGTTGCACAGCGGGCAGATATTCGATGTGCTACAGGGTACAAGTAGCGTAATCGAATGTGACGAGTTACTTAACGCCGCGGTATCGCGTCGATATGCAAATGGATTGGAAATTCGATACACAGGGTGTATCATTTTCTTCCCAGTTCAAATTCTCCACGAGCAAAAATAAGCAAAAGAATACAGGTACACCTTCTATAAACGCTGAACGTACTCTTCGTATTCTCGTTCGATGGCGAGAACGGAGGACGACGATCCTTCGAAGAGTGAAAGAAAAAGAATTCTTTTTTTTCCGTTCGAGGGAAATAAAGACAACGAGAGAAAGGAAACTGTAAAAAAAAGTTTACTTTAAATTTCGAGGCAAGACCGGTAAACTTTTTTTTCCACAGCGAATATAAAGCTGTCTCTCTGGACGGTGTTTTCGAATTCCTCGCACGCCAGTTCGTTTGTTCGACTTGGACGAACTCTGGAACTCGCTGCGGGAACGATCGATGGCTCTCGGAGGCTCAGCGAACGAACTGTCGGCCAGAGGTTTGTTCCCGTCGACGAACGACGACGAATTTGAGGTGACGTCGTCGCTGGACGATATTACGGAACGTTCAACATCAGCAATACGGGGCATGCAATCAAGTATTATACACACGGACACAATGCGTATGCCGAAGTGGTACCCGCGAAATGTAAAAGCATGCGTGATCGAGGTAACGCGTCCTTCCGTGATGAAACGCGCGACTCTCGATCCGCCAGCAGCAAGATATATACTGGACCGTGCCAAAATGCAGAATACGCCCACGCAACAAATATACAGACACACACAGGTATATACAGATAATGTTGCAGTATCCTCGTACCAGTACGGAACAAATAAATAAATTCAATGGAAATTGTACAACAACGTATAATATACATCCGATCTATGTATTAGCAGATATCAGATAGATAGACAGACAGAGAGACACATGAAAACGAGACAGAAAAGATACGGAAAGAATGATCAAGGGAGAATTGTCGGCGCAAGCACTCCCATTTGCAATAATACTCCCTTTCTCGCTTCGGCCCAGCGTTTCTCTCCCCAGTCCTTACTCTCTCGCGCTTCCGTTTTTCGAAGCTGTGACGAAAGAAACACACAGATCGCTGCTGGGCTCCATGGAGTCTGCGCCTCGATCACGGTAATCGAATCTTTCGAATGGGGGAAACACTCGTGAAATTATCCGTATCCTGGATGATACGCTTCCAGATGGATCTGTATCGTAAATATGAGACACGAGGGGGTCTTCGTCGTTGGGATACCCCTAGACACGATTGAATCACCGTGAAACAGGCGCTGCTCCGCGATCAGCCGATGGCTACTCTTCGAGATCCTCTCACGGGATACATTTTTATACTCCTTGTTTTTTGGGGACGTCGAAAAGATTGGAAATGCAAAAAATTCTAGCACTGAGAAATATTCTACTTTTTTTTTTGGAAATATCAGCGTTACTGTTGAAAAACGAAGGACTCGAAGAGAGAGCCAGGGTCGCGAGCCCGTCGTGAGGGACAGGACTTACACCATTTAACCGTGGTATCTCGATGCTCGGTATGTAGGTGGTCTCTTCGTGGCCAGTCGAGCAATATCGCGTTCTCCTCCTGGTGGCGCGAGGGCTGCAGCGGTCACACGGCACCGCGGCGTCGGAATTGCGCGCCTTCGCGGCTGGTCTCTGCCGTGAACCGCACCGTACGGCGAACCGCAATTCCGAGGCCATCTCGGCGCACAGGGACTGCCCGGGCCGCGGCGTCGATCGACCAGTGTTTTTTCGTTTTAGTCGCCACCGATGCGTGTAGACACAGGGATCAGCAGAGCAGGCAGAACAATACCAACAAATGATACAGAAAAACGATCACGATACCCATGCAATTCCTCTCGCGCGCCAGGCCGTTTTCTTTTTTCTTCTTCTTCAATTACCAATGTGTTAAGCGTGCTTTCGTTTTAATCCTGATATATGTACATACACTGCCGGCCAAAAGTTTCCTGACCACTTTGCATCGCATAGGTACTCAGGCAGAAATTTTCGGGCAAAAGTTGGAAATTTAAGGTAAACTTTTAACGAATTTTTTTTTGGTACCGTTCTTTTTCTGCTGAAATCGATCCTGGTAACATCGATAACAGATTCGGTATCTGTGTGAATTGATAAGAAACTTGTGGCTGACAGCGAACAGTATTTGTGGTGAAATATGTACAAGACGGAAGGGTGGAGAATGTTTTACGGTTTGATAATATTGCGTTAGCCTGTACAGATGGGAAGGATGGAAACTTTGAGGTATGGTATTTAACACGTTTCGTCTGTTTGCAAATGGTAGGGGAATGGATCGGTTAGGAAAGCTGTGTCGGCCAGTGTTTAACTCGGTATGTGTAGAGGTGTACTGTGTTAAATCAAATCAGTAGAATGAGAGCGTGCGTAGTCAGACCGGCAGGACGCGGCGAGTGTAATCAAGTAAGTGGATCGAAACCTCTTTCGGATAAGTACAACGCGAATCTACTTATTGTTAGTTGGATTTAACTAGACATTCGCGAATGTTCCGTTGATTTGTGTTTGGAAAAACTGTTCAATTAACGTACTCACCGCGATGTTGGTCAACCATGACTGTAATACCATGAATATAGAAAATCTAATTACTTCGATTGCTACATTTCCGAGATAATTACCGCGTTTAATAATAATAGGAGAGTGTAACGGTAACTTGTAATATCTGCATTTATGCAAATTTAAACACGTTGACCACTATTCTCCAAAATTCTTCTGTCAAACCTAACAATTCCAATATACTCTGTCAAAAATTTAAACACCGGTCTCGATCAACGTATCAAAAAGCACACTGCGGTAAATACGTGAAAAAATGAAACACTGGAACGACTAAATACTCCATGCAAAATCGTCTCCAAGCAATTCACAAGAAAAAATACTGAAAAATATATAACAGAAACGGCCTTGCACGCCGCGTAGAGGAAGGTACACTCATGCAGCACGTATATGTACATCCACACGCGAAGCATGAAATCGTACGCGCAATTATCCCGGTGCTTGGTTCGCTTACCCGGTCCGATTGGGCGTTCTTCTTGGAGTTCCAGCAGAACTCGAGGACCGCCACGAGGATCGCTAGAGCCAGGCCGCAGACCAGCACGACAAAGACACCGCCTGCAACGGGAAAAACCGGAAGCTCATTATTTTACCGCCGCCGGCTGTCCCTGCTTCTTTTCTGATGTCGCCCAGCGCCGCGCACGCTTCCAACGGTTAATGTAGCTGCCACCCCGTTACCCTCCATCCGTCCTTCCATTTGTCACCCTCTAACCCTCTTCTCTCGCACCTCGTCACCCTCCTCGCGCCCGTCTGTTTATCTATTTATCTATCCATCTGTCTAGCCTCCAGTCTATACGACCCTGTCGTTATTTACGCCTACGTCTCTCGCCAGCTCTGGCCATCGTCTTTGTTAGCCCCGTCTGAATCTCCTCCTTTCTCCGGCCTCCCTTTCGGCGCGTCTCTGAGAATCTTCTTCGACGCGAGGAGAAAAAGATTGACGGACGTCGGGCAACGAAGCTTCGGCTGAGATAGCTGGGGATCCTTGGTTGAAAGATACAGCTATAGAGAGAGGCTTTTAGTTAAGCTAGTTAAGAGTTGACGGAGATGTGTATAGGCGATTCGTAGGATTTTCGGAGGGTTCTAGTTTGATCTGGGTGTTCTACGCAGAAAGTTGCAGAAAGTTGCAGAACTACAGAGATCGTAAACAGTTCTAACGGGGCTCCTATCGGAATTTATTCCCCGTGCTGATCATTTCGTACGGTTTGCTCGGCTGCACGCCGCCGTCTCGATATTGGATCCGGGCAAGTTTCTTCGCTGGAACTTTCGCTCCAAATTATGACGTCCGTCTGGATTAGCCCGACCGTGAAACATCATTTCGCGAATTTTTATATCGTCGTATCGATGGGAAATGAGGAGGGAAACGGTTCGGTAATATGTTTCTTTTTGGGAGAAATTTATGGACAAGTTAGGATCATTGTCCGCTAAACTGCCTGTCGTCTTCCTGGTTTTTACGAGATGTTAACCTCTGGACAGATTGGATTTTCACGTCGTATTTACGGAAGTTCGGGAAACTTCTCATTTTTACGCTAGAGAAACGGGGATCTAAGGAAGTTCCTCGACTACGTACGCAGGCTTTAAACTTCTCGTATCGCTAGATACACGCGAGCTTCTCACTTCGTCTGGGTACTTTCCAATTGGCGTATCTAACTTCTTGCTTAATCGCTGCTCGAGTCTCGTAGCTTCTTTCCTTCTGCTTGTCCGAGTGTTGCTTCAGTGCGTTACCGTGGTCAAGGATCTCTCGGAATACAGACATCCTTCGAAATTCTCTTTTCCTGAAACTTTTCTGTACAACGATCTTCAGTTTCTTCGCTATTTGTAAAAGATAAGAGATGCAGAATACCCTACTTTGCGCATTCGAAGGAATTTTCGCAGGATTAACAAACCACCTGTGCGTCAGAAAGCTCGATAAACACAAACAAACGTCGGTTAAAAGCAGCTTCGTCGATCTCGATGGTCTAACTTCATCTGCATGCTAAGCAGGACCGCATGCTTGGCTCGTGGTGATCGCGGGGAGGAGAACTCGCGGTACAGATTTACATAACTGCGCTGACGTTGTGATTTGAGCAACGTTTCGCCGGAAAGAGCAAAGTTTCTCGCGTGGACGCCGCTTCTATTTCCTCGTTGTTCCTCTCCCTTCTCGTCGCGGATAATTTCGCGGTGAAACGAAGACAGAGACGGCTACCACTCAACTCGACCACTTCGTCGTTCGAAACGTCCTCGAGTTTCCGCGCGGACAGCGACATCCGCTCGCGGAGAAACCGCGGTTTCACTCGTACAATAGAGTCGTTCGAAGTGGTAGGAGGTACAGTGTTTAGCTCGTGAATTTCTCGGACGAATTAAACAGGCATTAACCCTTCGGCATCTAATGGTGAAATAATTGCAGGAGTTTGTAAAAAGAGGTACTTCTTCGATTCTTGTTCGAGGCTTTATCGAAGCTTCATCGACCAGCTGACTAATTAAAAGACACCTAATTGCGGCTTCGTGACGCGAGAACGGCCAAACCAACGTTGGCGAAACGTCAAGATTGAACAAACTTTGGACACGGCTCAAAATCGGAAGCCTCGAACAGCAATTCGAGCAACCCAGGCCGTGAAAGCCTTAAAACTCTCATAAGGCTCTTCTTGCATTGAAACAAAGTACGTTACTCTGCATATTTCTCCACTTGAAAGTGAAATATCCTCGTTCCGCCTCGAGCGATCTTCACCGAAGATAGAATATAGAAAAAGAAGCGAAGGATCGTAAGAAACGTGGCGACGCCGTGGAAGCAAAGTTGACGGTGAAATTCAAAGACCGTTGAACCTCGTTGGCTGCGCAAATAATCGACACGTCTGGTGGAAAAGGCGATTAACAGAACCGGCTGCAATTTCACGAACCTCCGCCAAGACCTCGTTCGTCCTTCTTCCTGTCTCGGCGAGTACATTCGCGCTGCCGGCAAAGTGGGTACTTACCCAAGTTACAGGGCCAGCCCAGGCGAGAAGAGTGGCGTGGAAAAAAGGAGGAGATAGAACGTCGGGGATTCTCGGTCTCGGTTAGAAAAAAGGAGCACCGGCGGGGATGTAGCGGCTCGAGGAACGCCGGGGAGGTGGAAGATAGAAAGGGAGAACTTGTTGTGACTTCCATAAAATCCAGAAGGGGTTCCCGGGGACTCCGAAAGAAAAATTCTCCAGGAAACTTCTCCTCCGCGAGATTTCGCCGCGCTTGAAAGCACTCCAAGTCCTCTGTTACACCAACCCCTCTCTCTCTCTCTCTCTTCCATCCTCTGGCTTTCTTTGCCAACGTTTATTGCGCGAAGTGTCCCCTTTAATGAACTGAATTTTTCTTTCCGGTCCGAATCGCCGTGTCTCCTTAATTTCCCTCTTTTCTCCTCGGATCTCCCTACTCGATCCTCTTCCCTTCTCCGTCTAAATAACCGAACAATTCCGTCTTTTCACTTCGCTCTCGTCTCTTATCCACCGATCGATACTTCCCTTTTTATCCTCTTGCGAACGTTTCAACGGCGTAGAAACGATCTCCGTTACGCAACCCCGTAGTCTATTGAAATCCATCAATAGTTGGTTATGTAACACGGCATACTCGTGGAAGGGCCACAAATTAAGTTAGTCGGGCACGGAACGCTCGGAACGAACATAATGATTTCGTCCTTCTATGTACGTTTCATGGACCCAGTTCGTTTCCCCCGATATTACTGTGCGTGATTACCGCAGATCGATCATGTGCCTAATTTTCCCCGGAGCATTCGTAGTAGTTCGATACGATCCGTTGTTGCTCCGATGCGATTATTCGTCGAGTGACGTCGTTATTTCCCGCGAAGACGTCACGGTGGAGGGACTAGCGCGACGTTAATTTATTATCGTCGTTCTTCTTTCAACGTTTATTGGCCGACGTTTGACACGGCTGCAATTTGGTTCGAACGGGATGAATTCGTTCCGAAAATGATCGCCGTTCCGTACCGGCGTGACATCAATGGCATTTCCCCACGTTTTATATTTAATTAACGCCACGGCATTCCGCCTGAAAATCTCCGTCTGAAAAATAATTTTACCGCCGCGTCAATTATACACGCTGCGTAAAATGATTTTTCCCCAAGCGGTGTTCGCCTCGTCCGCATTTTTTTCTTCGCCTCGCCGTCCTAAATTCGGGATGAAAAGACCATTCGCTGGCCAGCTTCATCGAGCGAAACCGCTGATAGCTGCGACTAAAAATTTCATTCCTTCCTGGCCAACCTTCCCCGGACGTCAGATAAACTTTCCACTGCTCGACTCTCTTTTTTTCCCCTCTCTCTCTTTCTCTTTCTCGTCCCAGCGATAAATTATACCATCTTTCTCGACGGCGACCACCGTGACACTTTCTCCCAGCACAAAGTGAAATAAAGGGAGAAGGAGAGAGGGAGAGAGAGGAAAAAATGCAATTCTCACCGATATTTTCGACTCCAAGCGCGTTCGCCTTGCTCTCCTTGCTCTTCTCGTCCCTGTTGCACACGTCCCCCGTGTTCTTCCACCACTTATCGTACAGAATCTGTATCACGCCCTTCTCCTGCAGCTCGAGAATCGCCAGAGATATTTTATCCCTCCAGGGCGAACCTGCATATAAAACGGCTTCGTTAGGTCGGTCAAGGAACCGACGGTCTCACTTTGAGAACCTCCGCGGAAGACATCTCGTGGAGATGAAATAGCTACGACCTCGTCCTTCCTTCTTCCTCGAGGCTAGAGCTTCGAGAAAGAAGAGAAAGAAAGAACGCGTGTCTCTCACTTGCACGAATCGCTCACTCTCTCTATTTCTTAACGTGGTTTCCTCGCGAGGGAAACGTAGCGAAGTTTCGTCACGCGACCACGACGCCCGACGATTCGTTATCAAGTGCGCGCAAGACGGTGTCAGGAGGAGTGAATTAAAACACCGACACGTTCGTCCAATTAAGGAAATTGCTTAGCTTCCAGCTCGGACTAGACGCGCAACTTTCAGCTAGCTTACCGAGAATTACGCGGATTAAAACGTCGACTCGTCATTTCGACTCGTTAATTAAGGCGTTCCTCGGCTGGAGGCTCACTGAACGTGGTAATGTATTATAGATCGAAAAAGAATGGAAATTTGCTTGTTGTACGAAACGACGGAGCATAGAAATCGATGATGTTAAATTTGAGTGATTTCGATTACGTCAAAGGAGACACGTCACGTTTTTATCCTACTTCTCACGTATACTACTGATCATAAGTGTTACTTAAAGTACACTTCTTGGTCAAAGTTAATAATTGACCAATTTCCGAATGATTCTATTCAACAATTTTCCTTAGAATCTCAATAATTCTCTAATTACCGTTCACGTTTCCTTCGCAAACAGAAAGCGTCCTAATACACACGTTTTCCTATGACAGACGGGAAATAAAAATCCCCAAATCCCACCGAATTCCCTTCTTTCCCATTTTAGATTCCGCGCCGCTCTGCCGCCAACAAATCCAAGGATTTTACGACGCACGCCGCGAACAATGCTGCGAGCTCTCCCTCCCTTACCGGGCGCACCGCTAAATTCCTCGCGCAATTTCTCGCGCTGTGCAGAACTGCCGCCGGGTAATATTAAAAGCAAACAATATTTACGCCCTTATTTCGCGCCTCCGCGCTGTTTTCTTACGCGGTGGCCCTTGCTCGAACTCGTCAAACGCGCTTTATCGCGCGGCAGCTGAACCGTGCAACATTCTCGAAAGGTCCAGGCGTTGGAAGGATTCCTGTTCGCGTTAACAGTGCTCGTGAATTAATTAAGACCGGAGGATATGAAACGCGGGGAATAAAAAGTAACGGTGAAAGGATGTTAGTTGGCGCGGTATAAGGACGGTTCATTTGTTGATGTGAAAAAGCAGAATTCTCGTCGGTTGAACAATCGTGGAAACACGCGGGAATATTTCTTTGTATATTCTTCACGTTGCAATTGTTTGGTTTTTTTGCTTTTTCCTCGTGGGACGAATATACGCGGCAGACAGGGGTGGTTTTCTGCGGCGAGATATCGAACAGGCTTTATAGCAAAATCGAGCCGCGTGAACGATAGTCTCGATTGTTTTCCAATATTACCTTTCGGGGTGGCAATTCCGTAGCCTTTGCTGTCCAACAGACCGCCAATTTGCGTGAGATTGCAATCCCGTTGTACCGCATAATCGAGCATCGTGGATTCCATGAGAAAGGCATAGTCGCCCTCTAACACCCTCTTCACACCGTCCTCGTAGCTCTTCACGAACACAGACGGCGATTTCGTCTCCATGAACTCCCACATCTTCTTGTAGATGCCTATCTTCGAGTCCTGTTTTTAACACAGTTTTTAACAAAAAATGAAAATACGCCTGAAAAATACGAATGAAAAAAATACGCCTCAGACCTAAATTTTCGAATTAGGTATCAATTCACACCGATGGTGAATTTAATAGAAATTTTTCGTAGATTTCTGTAATAATAATTAACGTTTCAGGGATCAACAGCAGAAATCCGTAAAAATTTCTCGAATTTCTAATTCTTTTCTGAACATTTTTGCATTGCTTTTAATATGTAATTAGTGGATTCCACTTTTAACAGGGTGTTTCCTTTCAAAAGAACATTGACGTGGAATTGTAAAATAATATTCCGTTATTTTTGGTGCAAATGACACCTTCAACGATCTGCAAATAAAGTGATATTACGTTTTAACGGAGACCCTGCGAACGCGACCCGTATTTCGGTCTTTTCCCTCTGTTTTTCTCTAATGGATCGTCGAACGCTAAGAGCCTTTGGAAAACGCTTAAATTCATGTTACTAATAAGCTTTTCCCCACACAGCGTCAAATAACGCATTCATTATTTTCGTATTAATTACCCTTTGTGCCGTGGCTCCACTTTAAACACAACAAAGAGATTTTAATTCTCAATTAGTGAAAAACATTTACGAGACATGGTGGTTGCGTATCGCGTTGCTCGTCTGTTTCGAAATTTACTCGTTAAAGGAGCACCTATCAATTCACTTGGAAAACTCTCTGTGTAACGTTACAAAGGACATTTCTCTCTTTTTTTCCTGCAAATTTCTCTCATCCCTGCAGTGTGTTCTCTGCCAGTTTTTTGATAATGTACATATCTGATGATAAATTTCGAACAGAAACCGTTCCAATAGCGTGGTATTGATAAAACGTAATAGCTGTAGGATACCAAATTGCGTTAGCAATTTAATAAAGCGAAGAGTCCGCGTTCAAGGTTTGATAGGGAAATTCGTCGAAATTCCGCGTCACTGAGAAGTATCTCGAACAAGAGAATATATTTTACCAAATAATTGACACGATTATATACCAGCAATGCTTACGAACAAGTTGCAAAAGCTTTCTAAGGAGAAGTATCCGCAAGAAGCGACTGGAATTGGAATGGAAAATTTCGTGGAACGTTCCACATTGACAATTGCACGGCGTTGATGAATATTAACGAGTCCGCGGCTGCGCGCATGTTCGACGAGAAACGTGACCGAACGTCTCTGTAAATTTGTCGGACGATTTAATTATACACGCGAGAAACTGACGCCAATTATAAAATAACGTTTGTTCCAGCGAGATGCGCGATGCTCGCGCAGCAGCTTTGAAATTTTCACGTTGCTTCAGGTCTCTTGTTGAATTATCTAAATCTCCGGAGAAACTTCGCCGTGTTGCAGTTTCTCGGCGCGCATATCTGGATTTACCTTTCGACCATTTTTCGCGACTAACTTCTTCCCTAGATAACTGAAAGTTGCTCGCGAGAGTAAGAAGTCGCGTTATTTGGCTACCTTCCTCGGTTCTTTAGCAAATTGCAGCTTTTCGGCAAATTTCTACGGGTTGGGTAAAAATGTCGGTGGGTACTTACTCTGAAAAATGTCATCGTACTGCCGCCTTCTAACGTTCCGTAGGAGATCTGAGTCTGTTCCGCAAGATCAGCCGCGTTCTCGATAGGCGTGATCATTCTCTCGACGGTGAGGAACGCGGCCAAGTTCGCCGTGTAAGAGGAGATGATGATCAGAGTGAAGAACCACCAGATTCCGCCTACTATTCTCGTGCTGGTCGCCTGATAATTACGATCGATA